GTGTGTGTGTGTGTGTGTGTGTGTGTGTGCGTGTGCGTGTGTTTGAAAGTGGGCAAGCTGCGATAAGTGAATACTGCCTCTCACCTTATGTGTCTCACGTGTGGACGTATCGTTGCTTTGAACCGCTAACATGCTGATGGAAGACCTGACACATTTCACTGTGGGGTTTGTTTTCACTGTACAATAATTTTTGTATACTTTCTAAAGGTTGCTTCATACAGAAATAAATGCCTGACTAATTGCAAGTCGTGTGGACTAATTATTCCTAAGCATCAGTTCAGCTGAAAGGTGAAAAGAAAGCAGTCACATAATGACCTGCCCGTTTCCTGTAGCCACCTGAGGTCCTTGTATCAAGGCGTCGAGCCTTTGGTGTCCTTCAACTTTGACATGAGTCCAACTGATCCTTTTATGAGAACTCTATCTTCAAGAAAGAATTTGATGTGAATTGTACGTTTTGTGATTCATATCCTTCAACTGTTGTCCTCTTGTTTTGGCACCGTCTCTGTTAATGCTTTTCGGCATAAGCTTCAGTTTCAGCCTCATTTCCACAGACAGCAAGACAAAAGGCAGAGAAGGATTTCTTTAAGGCCGAAATAAAAGCGAGTGCAACACCAGAAAATAGACTCTTGCTGGCAAAGATAGAAATTTTTAAAGAAGAGCTGTAGGGAGTTTAAGAGAGAGAATGAGGAAGCTTAAAACAAGTAGTTGAAAATTTGAGGACAAAAATTGAGCGCTTTGGGGGTCCAGGAGCCTAAAAGAAAGGTTTTTCCAAGTTGTTCAGTACATAAATTACTTGTTAAATATTAAAAAATGTATTCAATTTTAAATGATTTTCCTGAGCTTGTTTTAAGAACAATATAAATAGCTTTTGCTGAAGGATTGGGATATTTGTATTATTAATCACTCTTTAGTGATTGCTTTGTATCAGCAGGCATTCGTTTTAAAAAAAAAAACTATCATTGTGTCCTCAAGCAATGCATTGATATCAAGAAACATTGTAAGGATCTGATTGCTGTTCCAACTGCGCCACTGTGCTTTCCTATTTTGCACGAACACTTGTATACATCCACCACAAGGTGGCAGCACTGCGGCTGCGAGGGGACGAAGTGAGCAGAAGTCGGGACTCAAAGCAGTTGGACAGCGGAGGAGCGTTTTGTCATGACAGTCATCCAGGTAGGTGGACAGAATCATTTATACATGCAGTATTAAGGTATGCATGAGCTTCCAGTTGGATTTTTAGCTCTGATATTCACCTTGAGAGAAAACCAGAGGAATGGAGGGGGCGCTCTGGCCGGAAGAGTGGCTCCGGTACTTCAACGCGAGCTTTGCCGCTCTGGTCACCCATGTTGGACCGGGGATGCTAGCTGTCAGGGACCGTTAGCTAGTCGGCTATCAGGGGCAGTTAACGGGGCTCGGCTGAGAATGTGGCGCCGCTGTAACTGCGGGTTACATCTCCCGGCTGTGTGTTTAATGTTGAAGGTTAGCTAGAACAGAAATGAGGCTCTCCCAAGAAAAAGTCCCGGCTCGTCTTCTCTGTCACCGCGGCTGACGGCAGGGATTAGCTTGCTAGCTTCATTCGCTGGTCAAGGAGGAGGAACTGGTGTCAGTGAGGAGCCTCCTCCCTCCTGATGGACACCAGCTGCACGACTTAAAGGAGGAAAATATCGAAATGCTATACAAATATTCCGGTATTGTAACATTTAGGTTACAGTTTTTTGTTTTTCTTTTAGAAACGTGTACAACAACCCTTTTCTCTCCACTTAAACTTTAAATAAAAAAAAATGACATTGAAGGAAACTGACATTCAACAAGTTCCTGTTCATCAAATTAAATGTTTCTCTGTCCCATGATGAGGCTTTCAAAGAATTTAAAAAGTTTTCTGGGACTTTAATATTCCAGGCAGGGCTGCATAATATCAGGTAAATGATTAATTTGGGCAAATCCACATTTCTCACTGCTTCTGCCCTGAACTGTTATGATAAACGCCTGTGACCTTTCCCATCCGCCGCAGTGAGACTCTGTCCAACAGGCTGATTGACATTATTATAGAGGGGAAGACTCCGACCTGGAACCCCTCGTTGGCATTCATTTTGCACATTGTTTTGTTTCACCCATCAGTTTTTCGAGTGATGACATATTTAAATTGATTCCATTTTTGTTCCGTTTAGTCAACATTCAGTCCTAATAAGAAAATCCACATGCATGTAACTTTCTTTTCTGTCCACAATGGCAAAAGCCACCGACTGTCTCTCAACCTCTTGCAGTTCTGAATTCTGCAGCTGACATCAAATGTCTGAATTAAGGGTGCCTCGATTTATCTGGGATCTCAGTGATTGGCCGAAACTTATTCTCTGGTATTATCTACATCAGTAATGGTCTAAAACAGAAAAAATCAGCCACTGTGCTCTTGTGAGGTTTGACTGACATACCGGCCCACCAGGTCATGTCTGCACTTGGAATAGGCAGGTCAGACAGAGATCATAAACACAAAGGATATTTCTTTTCTTTTTTGGATTGATTTTTATAAAAACAGACTGAAGTTGAAGGTGTCTATATGTCTGCACCAAATGATAGAAAAACAGCATGTTAAGTCAGAGGCTTGTTCAAATTGGTTGTAATATAGACTGCTGCAGGAGCTCTTTCCTGCCCACAGCCATCACCGTCTACACTAACTCTTTACGTAAATGAGTTTCAACATTTAATTTCCCTTTGGAGTCAAAGTCTTTCTTTTTTAAGTGAATTTGGTCAGGAGTGTGAATTGGATAGAGGGACATATGAAGGGAAGAAGGACTAAACAAAGGGATGGATGGGGAGAGCTCATGCCTGCCCTGCCACATGACGCAGCCCTGGGCGGTTGCCCATATCAGGAACCGCCACTTTATGAAAATGCTTTTACAGTTTTCTCATCAGAGTAGAGGAAATACACATTGATAATAGCTGGCCTAATTATTGTGATATTTTGTGATAATTTAAATAAAATAATCTTTAACGGTTATCTAACGTCTCAGTCATGAGCCCCCTTGTGGTGTAAATTGTGAACACGGGCGTATTTGTGGTGTTGACTCCACTTCTCTGCTTCCCATCTTTCTTTTTTTGCAGGAACGCTCCTCTCCCAGATGTTGTTCTTTTTTTTTTTCCTCACTTCTAAGTTGGAAAGCGAAGCGACGTCCGTGTCGGCATGGTGGGATGAGGTAGTAGGTTGTATAGTTTTAGGGTCACACCCGCATTGGGAGATAACTATTCAACCTGCTGTCTTTCTCAAAGTGCTTTTCCTCGTCAGTCTGAGCCGTGGACGGGTTCCCGCTGCTCTCCACCGGATGCTGCCGTCACCATCAGATCGTTCTTCGGCTGCTCACTCAGTGTGAGGTAGTAGATTGTATAGTGTTGGGATTGTGATTGTTTGCCCTGCCTTGGAGATAACTACACAACTGGAGAGTGGAAAAACCCCAAAGAAAAACGTTACTGCTTAATTATCACTGCATGCCCTAAACAGTTTGATTGAAAGGGAAGGTATCATTTAAAATTTGCTTGTTTTGAGCTTTCACATCCTGTTCTGATCTAATTCGCTCATCAAAAATATACCTTTGCTCGTGTTTTGCACAATTGATTGGTCATCCTCAGAAATTAAAGTAGTTCTCAAATGTGCACGAAAGAATCAAAGCAACATTCAAAGGTATGTTTTTGATGAGGAAATTACATTATAATAGGACATAAAGCTCATAAAAGTTGATGTTACATAAAACTGACCCTTTCAAAAAAAAATGCATGTTTTTACCTCAGTAGTTCTAAGAGTGACCATTAGGTGGCGGCATTTGTCTTTGACCGTTTTACCGGATGCGAGAGAATCAGTGAACTCTGTTCACTGGTTTATTTCACTGTTCTCTAAAAAGTAATAAAGTGTGAAGTGACGACTCTAAAGAGCAGTCCTCTGAACCTGCACGTTGAAATGAAGCGTTCCATCAGCAGAATAGACGCCGCCTCTGAATTAATCTGCAAATGACTCAGATTCCCTGCCTCCGTATTATCGGAGGCAGGGAAATGGTGGCAGATTTATATTTGGTTAAATATGTTTCTATTAAACACTTGGTGAACTGAAGGCTGACACGGGCCATCGGAGCAAGCATCATATTTTAAATGTGTTTAACTGAACAGCAGGTGTTGCTAATCGATATTCTGGTGCTGGTAGAGCTTCCTCAGCCGGTGTCGTTGGGAACCAGTCAACTAATCGGAGCATTCCCATTACAACTCCAGACTTTTAATGTGTTGTCACAGACCAACACAAAGTGCTGATAAATGTTTCGGAACATTGTGTGTAATGCAGACATCTGAAAAGTGTGGAATGCGTTTTTTTTTCAGTCCCTTTTGCTTCCCCAAAATAAAATTCTTGCGCTGCCGTATGACCTTGTGTTTTTGTTCTTTGAAAGTTTGGCCCATTCACTTTTGCAAGGAAAGTCAAGCTCAGTCGTATCGGTTGGAAAGTGTCATCAGATTCCGATTTGAATTTAATTCTGGACTTTGACTAGACCATTCTAACCCACATACAACCATACGTACCGTTTTATTTGTAGATCACGGGACTCATTCATCCATTTGTCCTCTGTTAGCATTGACATCCTGTGGAACTGTGGCTAATAAATGCTGTGACTATGAAGCTTTAGAGTTGTAGTTGTCCTGCCAGTGGAGGAAGTGAAGGCACATCACCCGAGTTTTAAAGTCCTCCCACTGTACCTCAGAGAATAGACTTTAACACACTGTTAGTTTATAAATCTCTGAACAACTTAATATCAAAATGTATTAAATAGTGCTTTGCTGTGGTTTATCAGTCATGATGCAAAAATAGTCATAAAACTTCAAATGAGTTCATTAAATAAAAAAAAAAACAACTAAACTTGCATCAAAACGCCACCAGGTATCAATTTTGGACATCTTGATTTATCTCATTTAACGCTCCGGTCCATGTTGTCGGAACCGTGTTTTCGCTCAGGTGATACTTTGTGACCTCTAAATGTTAATTGGGCCCAAACTTTCCTCTGCAGCAGTCGAGGCTCACGCGCAGAGCGCGGTTGGCTTCTGGTTCGGTTTTGTTCCTTGAACAGGCAGGCCGCCTCCAGCCCAGGTCCTGTCGGGACGCGCCTGGCGGAGGCGGGCCAGGTGGTACCGGGTCAGGCGGTACCGGGCCTCCGAGGTGAAAAGTCACGGTTCCGTTTCCGAGCCACTGCGGTGGCACCGACCCGGGCTGTGGCGAACCGGACACCGAGACGGACAGCCGCAGTGAGTGAGAAGGTTTCACTAGAGCTACTGTTTTATAAAGTGATGGAAATAAATATAGAAATAAATAAAAATCATCGAGGATGAAAGAGGCAGGTGCTCCCTCCGCACCCCACTCTGCGCACGTGCCTATAGGCTATATTGAATTATATTCACTAAATGTAAGTTAAACTGCTGACATGTTGACGGGTTTTGGTGTGCGTTATTATGTGGCCTCGTGTTGCCGTCTTTTGTCAAACTTTCTGTTTTTTCCCTGATTAAATAAAAGGCGTTTTCATCCCGGTCGCGCGACTCTCCACAGCTCCTCGGGTCAGAAGCGCGCGCGGCGCTGCGGGGCTGTGAGCGCGCGCGGCTCGGAGGCAGATCCCTCGCTCGGCAGGCAGAACACGCCCTGATAGAAAAAGGTAGCCCCACGCAGAGTGAGAGCCAGAACGGACGCGACTGTCGAGCCGGATCACACAGCGGAGCGGCCGGGACCAGCCGCTCCAATAATGCCCCCTCCGCAGGCTCCCACAACCGGACTCCCACCGAACCAGACCGGGACGGGCTCGCTGCCACTCACCGTGGACGCACTGAGGACCGACGGCTCGGAACACCTGGAGACCCCGAAGGAGCTTTTTTCTGCTGCGGCAGAGGATTGAACCCCACCATGAGCAGGAAGACCCGGCGCTGGATTTTCCATTTCTTCCTCTGCCTCGGAGTAGTTTACCTGAAAATCGGGTGAGTTGTGGATTCCCTGAAGCTTGGCTGTGATGACCCGACAGCGGGGGGTTATGAGGTCAGGTGAGGTTTTCCATCAGCTCCGCAGAGAGAGAGGAGTTGGTGAAAGCAGAAAGTCAGCTGCTGGCGTTTCTTCCTGCACACCTGTAGCTGTTGATCTGCTGCTGCTGGACGCATGTTCACCTGCATGTCCCCTCCTCCTCCTCTTCATCCTCCTCCTCCTCGTCGCAGGGGGCTGTCGTCGGTCGTCGCGCTGGGAGCCAGCATCATCTGCAACAAGATCCCGGGCTTGGCCCCCCGGCAGCGGACGATCTGTCAGAGCCGCCCCGACGCCATCATCGTGGTGGGAGAGGGAGTCCAGGCGGGCATCAACGAGTGCCAGTTCCAGTTCAGGCACGGCCGCTGGAACTGCTCGGCCCTGGGGGAGAGGACCGTGTTTGGGAAGGAGCTTAAAGTGGGTAGGTAGTCTGTCTGCCCGCAGGAACACAAAATGTTATCAAGAAGTTTTTGATTCGACTTTCTGGGGCAAATATATTGGGGAACTTGAAATAAGCCAAAACTACAGGAGCTTGTTTTGAGTCATCAATTTATTAATATTGATGAAAAAGTTTGCGTTCTGTTAGTTGATTATTTCACTTATAAGGGCACTTTCCTCTTGTTATCAGTAAAATAATTTGTCAATGGAACTAGTGTTTTTTCCATCAATATTAAATGTTATTTACGTAAAACGAGCTCATGTATCTTGCTGAAAAGTAGAAACCAGACGATACTTGGTAAAAGTTTGTGTTTTTGCAATGCAGGGTGTTTTTTATTTGTTTGACTCTGATAGCAAAACAACATCTAAATATATTCCTAATATGAATATGACATGATGCAACGAAAAAAAAAAGCCCCAGAAAAGGCCGAATTAGGAAACATGCTCCTGTTAATGAATGAAAACCATCTCTGTGTTTGCACTGGCATGTTTTATTCTGCATTAATAAGCCGACAGCGTCGCCCTTAGCCGAAAGAGGAAAGATGCCACCACAGAGACAGATTGTTGAAAATTGCTATAAATTTTCAAAAGAAATTTGGTCCAGGGGGAAACATTCCTCTGAGGTACTTGACCCTCCGACCTTTGGACAGATGTGTAGGAGCCTGGAGCAGAGTCCCGTTGCATCAGCTCTGTGGGAAAGTGAGCCTCATGTCTGATGGTGTCTGTGGAACAAAGCTGCAGGCGATGCTCAGCTGCAGACGGCAGAGCACAAATATTTCCCAACAAGCCCGCACTCTGCCGTCTCCGTCCTCCAACGTCCTGCCTGTTGTCTGGAGGGATGGACGGATGGACAGACTCGGGCTTCGGGTGTCTTTTTGCTCCCTCAGGACGTTCAATTCGTTATCGCAGCATATCTGCGTCTTGCTGCATCAGCCCCGGGGTTTAACGCAGCTCCAACACTGCAAAAACACAAAACCTTACTAAGTAATCCTAAGTATCTTAGTACACTTGAAGTAAGATGAAAATAACTTAGAAGTAACTTTTCCAGAAGATGTAGGAGCTTGTTTTAAATAAATATTTATTTAAAATTGATGAAGAATGTTCCAGTTCCATTGGCAGATTATTTTACTTATAACATGATAAAAATGTGTACTGAGATTTTCAGACTTGTTAAAAGTTAGCGTTTTTGCTGTGTGTTGGTTTTTCTTAACTGGAAAAACATCAAATCTTCCCAAGTATTTTTGGTCTAGTTTCTAGTCCAAACATGTTAATGCGCTTGGAATAAAATAAAACTTCTCACAATTAACAGATTATTTCACTTACATTATGGAACAAATGTCTTGTTTTAAGTGACATAATCTGCCAATGGAACTGGTGTTTTCTTAATCAATATTAAGAAATTACCTACTTAAAACAAACTCCTTTATCTTGATGAAAAGTTACTTGTAAGTTAGCTTTGTCTTATTTCAAGGGTAAGACATTTGCACTTGAAACTTGAGAACAATACTTGAGAAGAGTTTATGCATTTGCAGTGCATCTTTTTAGATGCGGTAGTATTAAAACTGAATTTGATGCACTAAAAGAAAAACACACACAGAGAGGTCTAAATGCTTTTCATTGCTGCTCAGCCAAACCATGTATGTTCATTAGAAAAAGCCCCCAAAAAACAACACTTCCTCTCCTCAAAATCTTCAAGTTCAGGCAGGCGCTTTACTGTAAGTTTACAAATTTCCCTCCAGGTTCTGCAGCTTTTTACCATCAAACGATTCCCAGTGCTTCGCTTCAGGAAGACTCTCCTTAACATCGCTTCAAAGACACATGGGAGTCTCGGCGTTTTTGTGCTGCAGAGAACAGATTTCAGTCAGGAGTTCCGCTGAGCGCTGCTCAGGTCCAGCTGCCCTGCAGAGTGCGAATCCATTGTTTTCTGTTACTGGACTGGAACGCTGACGCCTGACAAGAATATATAAATTTGGGATTGTTGTTGGCGGTCACGCAGCAGTGGGTAGTGTTTTGGCATTAAGGTGAAGGCTCTGTCCCACTGACAGCTTAACTCCTTAAACTGACTTCTCGGTTTTTGAACCCCTGAAGCCAACCGGAGGACCGGAGCGTCTGCGGAGCGGCACACCGCTGCGTCTGGTCCTCTGATTCGTCCGAGGACCAGATCTGTGTGAAGAAGCGCCTCTGCAGAAGTTTAGCTGTTAAAATCCAGCAACTTTATTGACTGTTCCTGGATGCGGTCCAAGTGCGCTCCACCAGGAGTTATCTCCAATTTAATTAATAAAAACTGCAGTTGGCCTGAAGTGGTCAGATTTATAGGGCTGGAAATCTCTTCATGCTGGGAGGTTTGAGCATGCCTCTCAGATTCACCTCCGCAGGGTGGAGACCAGCATGGCGGCTGGTGGGGAACCGGGCCAGAAGTCATGCAAAAATATTTCTTTTGTCATGTGTTAAAAATGCATACAGGGTTTCCGCTAGTGTATTATAAGCCTGGTGGGTCACCAGGCTGTACTTGTGCATCCACCAGGCTAAGCATTGCTTATTTAGTTACGTTTTTAAAAACTGTTTGCACTCTTAAGACTATAGTTGGATGTTCTGGTGTTAATCATCCAAACTTCCAGTAGCACATAATTATCAAGTGATATTTTCAGGTTTCCTGTCAACTTTTAACTTTTTTTTTTTAACTTTTTTTGTCATAAAAAGGACAAAAAGGTTTTTCTTTAGTTATTGTTTGTATTTCCTCTAACTCTTGTAAAGTCCTTTGTAATGACATTTTTGCTGAAAATGTGCCATATAAATAAAATTACCTTACAAAAAAATATTCTTTCATCTGCGCTTTTCTCCCATCCAAAATATTGTATTTTAAACTTTTCGTTTTCGATCTTCATCCTGAAGTTTATCTGCTTTAAAGAGAGTCTGATTAATGAATTGCACTTGGCTTGCTTCATGCATTTCATAATCATCTCTGAAGCAGTTATGCCAGGTATGTAAGGAGGCTTGACAGGGCCTGAAAGAGTGGATCCTGTTGTGTGCAATTGTCGTCCAAACTGCTTTTTTTTCTCCATTCATCTTTCTGTCTCTGCAGGCAGTAAGGAGGCCGCATTCACCTACGCCATCATAGCGGCCGGCGTGGCCCACGCGGTCACCGCGGCCTGCACCCAGGGCACTCTGAGCGGCTGTGGCTGCGACAAGGAGAAGCAGGGTTTCTACAACCAGGAGGAGGGCTGGAAGTGGGGCGGCTGCTCTGCAGATGTCCACTACGGCCTGGGGTTCTCCAAAGTGTTCGTGGACGCACGCGAGATCAAGCAGAACGCCAGGACACTCATGAATCTGCACAACAACGAAGTGGGCCGAAAGGTATGTTTGGGTTTAGGATTTCCATGACCTAAATGTCAAATCAGGGAACCTGTGCTGCTGTCGCTCTACTTCACAGATGAGAGCGAGCTTCAGGTTGTGTGTGTGTGTGTGTGTGAGAGAGTTTGTAATACCTTGTGGGGATGATTTTTCTGACACATACTACGTTGTGGGGACCCACTGCTGCTTGTGGGTCCCTGCAATTGAAAACGCTGTTTTTGGGTCAGATTTGGGACTGAGGTGTGAACTGAATTTTGGTCAGGGTTAGGAATGTAAGGGTTAGGATAAGGGTTAGGATAAGGGCAAGGTTTAGGCTGTAGAAATGAATGGAAGTCAACAAAAAGTCCCTTCAAAGATACATTTTTTGTGGGGGAAAAAAGGATTTTGCTCACTGTTCAGGTTTCTTCTATTAGCATTATAGTTCCAGATTTACATGTTTTGCTAATATGCTCACAAAAATACAGATTAGGGGTGCGCCGATTTATCAGCCATTTGATTTATCACTTTTATTTTATTTATCAATTATTTATTTATGAATTTTCTTAATTCTTAATTTTCTTAATTTTAGGCAAACGGTCAATGCTTTTCATCTGAAAAAGTCTTACCTTCTTCAGCAAAGGTCTAAAGAAAATGTCCTCTTCTACTCTCCCATCAGACAATAGTCAGTAACTTGCTATATTTAGCAAGAAAGATTTTTTTTCTTGTTTTTTTGTTGTTTTTTTTCAGAAAAAAAAATACAATTATCATTGGCCAAAATGGGAATAAGCTGGTCAGACTTTTTAAAGCTTGGTAATCGGCGATTGACCAGAAAACTGCAGTCGGTGCAGCTCTAATATGGGACCCAATGAATAATTTAGAATATTGTTAAAAAAGTTCATTTATTTGAGGAACTCTTATCACCAAGGGAAACACATTATATAAATCATGTTTCTCAACTTATTTTCTGTTCATTAGGATGATTTTCCACTTACAGTCAATGAAAGCACAACATTTAAAATTAGAATAAAACATCAGACCAGTAAAATAAAACTATTTTTAAAGACAGAAATGTGGGCTCATGGAAAAGCGGGTGTAAGATCTGCTTAGAAGTCATTTTTAAAAAGGCAATCTGATTCATTGGTATATTTATTCAAATTTATTGAACATGACTGTAGGTAAACAGTGTCTCTTTGTACAGATTTTTAACAAATCTCTGATATAACATTCAGAAAAATATGAACCAGGACTTGGTGACCTATGTCCAGATCAGAACATCTGAGAGGAACTTTGCTTTATTGTCAAAAATATTTAATAAAGAGCAAAAATTCAATCATTGAGATTATTATTGAGCACACTGTTACACACAAATGGAGTTGTAGGCTATTTCTCATTTTGATACTATATCAATGTTACATTTGTTGCATGTTACATTTATTCATATTTTTATTTACCCAGTTGGCCCCCATCAAGACTTAAGGCTTCTTTTTAAGCAAGTTATTTTTAGGTTGTCACAAAGTGTTGAAAAAAGTTTTCCGTCAACTCTTGCCCAAAGTTATAGATGTTTGAAATTCTACCCCGAACCTTCTGTGCAGTAACATCGGCAACAAATGTTTCTGAAGGGATATTTTACAATGTTTTAAATGGATACAAATGTTTCAAGTGGTGTCAAAGGTGAGAGCAAAGGTTTTAGGAAGCGATTTAAAAACTTGGTTGATTTTCAGAGGTAGGTTATTCCACACGTGGAACTGCAGCCAAAGAACTGAGGAGAAGCTGATCAGCTGGTCTGTGTGAACAGGACAGGGGTGTGTGAGGATTGGGCAGCCGATGGTGGTCGGATGGGACGTTAGAAACAGACAAAATGATTTTTAAATGAATCACGCTCTGGCTGCTGATACTACCGGGAGTTTGGAATTTGCTAGTTACATTTACTTAAGTAACTTTTTTGAAAAACTGTGCTTTTAGGAGTGTTTTTACTACGCTGTACTTTTTACTTTTACTTGAGTTACTTTATTGTGACGTATTGTTACTCTTACTTCAGTAATATTTCTGGATTCTCTACCCACTCTATAAAGAAAAAACATCTTTTGAACAAAAAAATCACCAGACACAGACACACAGCTGTAGTTTTTGTTAAAGTTTCAGAAGTTTTATATTGAAAGAAACTGATTTTGAACAAAAAAAGTCTTTTGCCAGATTTTGTTACTTTCTCATCTGTTCATGTCCCATTTGAGGATGCGTTGGGTAATTTCTTTGAAGCAGGGTTGTTTGGGAACACTAAATACCCGTGATCATTTTTTCTTTCTCTCTGACATGAGCAGATATTCAAAGTTGGGCCAAGATTTGTGTCATGATAAAACAACTCCAGTTTCAGAAATGTTGGGGGAGTTCACTCAATGTTTTAAAAACATCAGTTTTCATGAGATCGACATGGAAAACTCTGGATCTTCGACTGAATCTGCTTGAGGCTGAGGGCCAAAACCATGACTGTCCATCTGGATCATGTGCTATAAAACAGAACATGTGAAGATAACAGGACAGAGTATCGATGTGATGTAGAAATAATCTAAATAATGCAGTTTGTTTTTGTGCTCTAATATAAAAAATAATAATCAGGATTATTTTTGTGATGGCCGATAACCGATATTTACCAGTATTTTATACACTTTACTACTGTTTAAACACCTTTGGAAAAACTCCCAACCAGAAGCATATAAAAATAAATATTTGTAGTTACTAATATCGATACAGATAGTTTTCATTGATACCGATATGTTAAAAAAAACAACTTAATATCGGCCGATACCGATGTTGGTGCCGATATGTAGTGCATCCCTACAGTTTTTATTGCCATTTCAGTGTAGGGTATGGTATTTATTTTAGTCTTTTACTTTTTCTTGAAGCAGGGTTTAAAATGTTCAGTTCAACTCTCTTTTATATTTGTCATTCAAGAAAAACATTTTCAGTATAATCTAACAGCCAGTTAACATCGCCACCTACTGCCCAGACTTGGATAAAAAGTAAACGGCTTTTTAATTCTGCTGTAAATACAAGGTGACAAGCTATTGTGCTGAAACAATTTGAAAATATAACCCTGAGTGTTTCCTGACTGTTGTATTTCAGTACAATAGTCAGATCAATGAGGAAAAACAGATCGATAGATAGTGGCCACACAAGCAAGCAGTCGACAGCAGAAGCAAACGAGTCACATCCTGTGTGGCACATGAAAGGTTTAACTGGAAAACCTAGCTTTCCAACATCGTCAGGTTTAGAAATAAACCTCAGTCCAGGTTTTCTTTCTGCCAGACGATGGCCCCCAGTGAGGTTGAAACAGTTCATGGAGCATCTGGAAAAGAAAAATACCTACTGGCCAAACAGTTAGTGTAACAAAGGTCTTTGGGTTCATTTGTTACATTTTGGAGCCTAACTGAAAACACATTGTAGACAAAATGCTATAATTTTATTAATGAAAATAGAGATTTTTGTACTCAGAAATCAAAATTTCTCCACTATAAAGCAAACATAGTGGTTGCTCGACTGTGCTTTGACATGGCACTATCTGGCCCCACTAGGGGTAACTGAAAGTCTCAGAAGCTGTTCAGCACATTCGCTGAGGCACAGCAGTGCACCAATGATTGTATTTCAGTGAAAAAACTGTAGCAGTAGTAGCCTTCAAAATAAAAGCTGCATCATTGTATTGCCACAGTAATGTACTACAGACTCGCTCGGGCCTGTGCAGAGGTTGTCACAGCAGGCTGCATGAGGCCTGTGAGCTGCAAAATGCCTCGGTCTGGTGTAGACTGTAGCACAGTGGTTTGGGATTCAGTAACACATTTGGGACTCGAGTGTTTCAGCAGTAAGTCAGTCGGCAACATCCTCCGGACTGACTTCTGGCACCGGTCCTCACTGCAGGCCTAACTCTTATCTATCTACGGCTACAAGAATTTGCGAGTACACAATAGCTGCCACACCGCATTGGCTCAAGGGCTGATAGATTATTTTGCAGTCATTGGGAGTATCGCAGATCGTCAAACATTCTGTGCATGAAGAAAGAAAGCACTGATGGACAGTTGATGTTCCCAGGAAAGGGAACTCTCTCTTCCCTTTGGACACATACCCATGGACAAAGGGGAGAGAGAAGGAGACCAGAGAGAATGTCAAAGCACAGCCAGGACACAGTAGCATCCAGTGTCCAGTGGTGAAGACTGGTGATCTGGTGTGGCTATGGATGGCCTTTGGCCAGGCATTAAACCTGAGATGTTTTCCTGCACACTTCATAGGAATGGAGAAAAGAAATAGTCTTCTCATGTCTTTATACACAACACCATGGTTAGTGTCTTTTATTTGGTTTCTGCAGCAAAGGTAAGAAGTCTGCCAGGTAAACCTGCAGGTGTGTGTTAAGGCTTATATCTGCATCACCAAGTGTAACTATTAGCTTCATAGGTAAATTTTTCTTAAAAACAAAATGATTTGGAAAATCCTTCTTCTACCTGAATCTTATTATAAAATTACTTTATTTTTTTGACATTTCTTAGATTTTAGTCTTTAAAATACCAGAATTTTTACGTAAAATTTGATTTTGGTCTGCCTGATGTCATTGTTAAATATTAAATCCGATGCTCTGGTGATCAGTTACTCAGTGCTTTGACTAGGCTTTTTATGAAATACTTTTTTACTCGTACTTGAGTAATTTCTCGGAGGCTGACTTCATGTTTAGGCTACATGCTTTGTTTGTATAGTCTTGACAGATTCAGTTTTACTGAGGATGATTAATTAGGAGGACAAAAGGTTGCAGGACTTTCTCACATGAAGTTCAGTAATTAGTTTAGATGCTGAGACTGTGACAGCAAATTATTTTTGACAGATATAACGGCCTGAAGATGAGATCGTAGTTTTTTCAGTTCTTTGTTGCTTTAACCTTGATCATTTCTCAAGCTTCTCATTTGTCTTTGCATGTTTCGTACATGCTAATTGCATGTAAAATTATGCTCTTTTTTTCTGTCTACAACAGTAAAACAATTTCAACTATTCATCCTGCTTCTCTCTCTCTCTTTCTCTGTCTCTCTATCTCTCTCTCTCTCTCTCTTTCTCTCTCTCACCGTTTAAGGGGAACTTAAACGTGTCAGACAAACTTCAGAGTAATGTTTCACATTTTTCAGTCAAATATATTGTCATTATGAGTCATTGTGATGCCTGATTCTTTTGGTGCCCTCTAACCCTGGCCGCTTTGTGCCCTATGTTCAGACTGTTGGTTGCATGGGTGGAGTTACGGATCAGGCTCAGTTTTTGCCACAGTTGCTTGAGGCCGGTTGTCATCAGGCTTCTTACCTCCAAGCCGGTGAACACAAATGGAAAGATCTGCCTAAGTCAGGGATGAGCTCTGTAATTTGTCAACTAACTTTCAGATCGAAGTCAAGATTATTTAAAGCGAAACCACTGCAGCACAATGGAAACTGCAGCCTTGCCCAGTTTTTAGTTATTTTTGTACAAATCAAAAGGAAATTGCATATTAGATGAACGTCAGAAAGGAAGGACAGATCTGTGAGAAGTAGAACTGCAGGTTCTTTCACCATATGTGACTGCGCTGTGGATCTATTTGATTAATTAATACGGGTGAGACTGGGTTATATATATATAACCCAGTCCTTAAGAGGGACTTCTTGGTGTCATCTACCCCTGAGAATGAGGAGTCTGAGTTATATGATTGTGAATTGAAGTTTACGGGTCTACTTGATCTGGCCGATCATCCACTGCAGCACAACGAGGAGTTTGAGAAGAGAGTTATGAGACTGGAGAGAAAGAAGCAGGTTCTGGGCAAGCAGAAAGGAACAGAGCCTCTGGATAATAAACATAAGAAGGAAAGCCTTGCAAATAAAACACCTATAGGATTCAGAAATCAATATTTGGTGGAATAACCAGGTTTTCAGTGGGGTTCAGTGCAGTGGGCTCTTCATGTTGTCCTGAGCTGTATATCGTGACCAGGATTCATTGTTTCACGGGCTGAATGTGACCTGCAGGTCTTGAACAGGTCCAAACTGTCTTCGGCCAAAAATGTTTAGACTTGTAGCAAAGCATAGTCCCACTGTCAGCATGTTCGCTGTCGTAGCTCACTGTCAGTAAACAGTACTTGTTAGTGTGAGTCCTTTGCATTACAGAGAATAAAGAAACAAACAAATAACAACCCAATATGCAATTCCTTCTGCTTTGGATTAGCTCAGCTTCCCAACTTTACATACAACCTCTGTTGTTTCTGTTTATCCCAGCTTCTCTAAATTGTATGTTGAAATGAGGCTCCATGCTTGAGGTCTGACATTAATCACAGCGTAATACTCTGTCAGGCACATAGTATGTACATACTATACTTATACCGCTGTAATTATTGTACAAAACCTTTGATATTTAATGGGAGATGATGTAAGTGTGTTTCAAGCGTTTCTTCCCGTCTTGAGAAGAATAAACAGCGGCGTAAAAGGTGCCACAGAAGGCTTACACGGGTTCTGTTGGGCAAACAGTGGCAGCTTCGACGGGATTTCACTTCAGTGAGCTCCATTATTTCAGTGTTTGCCAGGTCTCTGGGGGGGGGGGCACGACCACACTAAGCTTTGCGCGTCTCAGGCTTTTGACAATTACCCCAAGAGACTCCAGAAAGTCTGAGGCCACATCAGAGTGGAATAATTAAAAAGCAGGGAGAGGCTTTTCTATTGCCAGCCAGGGCTCCCGCTCAGCGAGAAGGAAACACGCTAAGCTCATGTCATTCAGCCCAAGGAACACAGAGAATGTTCCCGCAGCTCTGCCTGACGTTTTGAAAGGTTCTTCGCCAACGCCATGAAAAGGCCTTTCTCTCCTTTCTATAAAGGTCCTCGTGTGTTGAGAAACCAGGCTGTCTTCAGTCGCCATGGGAGCCTTTGAATTCATTTTGGAGGAGACATTTTGGGGTCTTGGGTTTGTTCTTGTTATCGATGGGAAGATTGTGAAATTGTGAAGTCATCTGGTCTCAAACCGGCAACCTATCAATTACCGGACAAACTCCTACCACCTTTACCACCGTCACCCCAGGGGCGTGTACTATAATATCACAGAAAAACAAAAAGGCATGTTTGTTTTAAAAATTGTTCCAAATTGTTAAAAAAAACAACAGATTTTTATTTTCTCCTCTATCTTGCCTATCTCATTCCAGAGACGTTTGCAATTCATCCCCCCCAAGTCAGTCCCTAGCAGGTACAGGTTGGAAAAAAATACTCCAAAGAAATCATACTGCAGTTTGCTACCATGACAATTATTCATTGGCATAACGTCCTCAGAAGGAGGACATTAATCATTTACTAAAACCAACTATAGAAAGTTACTTTCAACTCTTATTCTATGAGAAAAAGTTCATTTACAAGACTAACGTAGAGTCAGAGGAGAGGAGCTGAGTTTCAAGGTTTGAGTGCAAGTCAAGTGCAAACTGTCTTTTGGTGACTCAGGAACATCTGGAGTTCAAGTCACAGACTTCAGGCATTATCGCTTCCTCACCGGCACGCGTGAGGAAGCAGACGCAAAAGTCTGTTTTAGAAATGCTGGGTAAAGTGGACATGTTTAACCCTCCCGTAAGTCTTAGGGAGTCTTAGTGTGGCAGACGTCAAGGACGGTAAGTGGGGAAGCAACAGGACTGTCAGTCAACACCAGATTGGAAAGAAAAAAAAACAAAGGAGTCTGAAAAGCCCATTAGTCATTCTTTCACATCCACACAAATTCAGTGTGTGAAGGTCTGTGTGATTGGATGAATGACTGAATGTAGAGTAAAGCCCTTTGGAGTCCTGTAGATTTGAGAAGGTGCTGTACAAGTACAGGTCATGAACCATTTTGTTCTTTGAGTTAAAGAACGGCCCTCTGAGTCATTAGCCATAGCAGCTCTGAGATCTCTGGAATGCCAATGTTCACTCTAAACGCCTGAAAACGTTCGTCTGACCTTGTTGGACGATTGTTTCAAAATGTCTGTCTGGCAAAATTATTGCCTGCTTGTTCTCTTTCAACTCATTTACTTTCTTTCAACCCTTTCCTTCGCTCTGCAGGTCCTCGAGAAGGGGATTCGTCTGGAGTGCAAGTGCCACGGCGTTTCCGGATCCTGCACCACCAAGACGTGCTGGATGACGCTGCCTAAGTTCAGGCAGCTGGGATACATTCTGAAAGACAAGTACAACCAAGCGGTGCACGTGGAGCCCGTCCGCGCCAGCCGCAACAAGCGCCCTACCTTCCTCAAGGTCAAGAAACCCCACTCCTACCACAAGCCGAAAGACACGGAGCTGGTCTACATCGAAAGGTCGCCCAACTACTGCGAGGCCGACCAGCTCACTGGCAGCATGGGAACACAGAGGCGCCTGTGCAATAAAACCGCTCTGCAGCCCAACAGCTGTGACTTGATGTGCTGCGGCCGTGGATACAACACTCACCAGTACTCTCACGTTTGGCAGTGCAACTGCAAGTTCCTGTGGTGCTGCTATGTCAAGTGCAACACCTGCAGCGAGAGGACAGAGGTGTACACCTGTAAATAGGAATATTTATTAGGGCACACACCTGTACTGTGCTGTGTGTGCGCGTGTGTTTATGTGTGTGTGTATGTGGTTGGGTATGTGTGGCTTTTTTTTTTTTTTACAAAATAACATTACAGCAGTTTTAACTGGCCTGTTCTGCTTCTGTTGATTATGATGATGCCAGTGGTCATTGGATTCAGTTCGTAGGTCCATCATTTTTCCATTAATTTTCAAGTTCAGAGTTTTATCGTATTGTAGACTTTTTTTCTTTCTTTCTTTCTTTTTTGGCAGTCCACATATATCTACAGGTGCAGTGGGACTAATGTCAAATGTTATTTGCTTTTCATTTTGTAGAATAGTAATTTATTGACTTAGAAAACTACTGATCACATTGAAAACACTGCAAAAGCACACAAATCCCACCAGCTCATTTTGTCCACTTTATTCTGCAATTATGTTAGAAAACTTGAAATAAGACATAACTGATTTTCAAGTAATTTTTCAGCTTGATTTGAGTCAATAATTTCTTAAAATTTCTAAAAAATATTCTATTTCCATTGGCATATGATTGAACTAATGAGATTTTTCCCATGCTTTAAGTGAAACTTACACTTTTTCATCAATACCAAATAATTATTAACTTAAACAGGCTCCTATGTCTTTCTGAAAACTAAGAGTTATTTTTGCCTTATTTTAAATGTACTAAGACATTTGCACTAGAAGCTGGACAAAAATAGTTGGTAAGATTTTGTGTTTCTGCACTGAATACTCTCGCCGCCACATCTCAGAGCAGACGGCGTGGATGTCTAAAAATAATATCTGCACTTAAAAGCAAAATTTTTTGCAACTTTTTCATTTTATCTGTGGTAACTTAAACACTGGGGCTTAAAAGTGAAATGAATCCCGTGTAGGTAAACTTGACCGATCCCGTAGCCTACAGTAAGAACTACTGACCGTGTGTTTATGACGGTATCGTTTTCTGCTTACTGGACTAACACTTACCAGAAAACCGGCAGCAGCGATGTTTTATCTACATGCCCACATCTTCGCAATCAATTATTAAACCCGTGAGAAGGTAACTTATCCCATGGCATTTGATTTATCTCAGGATAAGAACCACTAACATGCAATTTTCCAAAATACACATGCAGCTCCTGAAAAAAATGAAGAGTCCACTGCACTGAATCTGACTGAAAACCTCCTGGTTATTCCACCAAATATTTTTGATTTCTGAACTCTTCCTGAGTTAAAATATTAGTACTGTTGTTTCTAACTGAATACAAACTTGTTTCTTTTGCATTATTTTGAGGTCTGGAAGCGCTGCATCTCTTTTGTTATTTTGACCATTTCTCATTTTGTGCAAATAAATACAAAATCTCTGCTTGGAGTTTCAGAGACGTGTTGTCAGTAGTTCATAGAATGAAAGAGCAATGTTCATTTTACTCAGACATATACCTATAAAAAGTCAAGTCAGAGAAATTGATCATTTTAAGTGGTCTCTTATGTTTTTTTCCAGAGCTGTATCTTCTCCTAACTTGGTCAAAATGTGAGGAAATGCAAGTGATGGAGAGGTTGGCAAAGCGTCATGACTGTGGAAAATAGTAAAATATTACACACATTCATGAATTGCCAACTGAAAATCTGCTGTCTAATGGGACTTTAAGACTCTTTACACACAGGAATGTTTTTTTTTCTCAAACTGGTTGTTGGTATCAAAAACATCCGTGTTCACTTAGCTCCGTCTCTAGAAATGTTTTCGTCCACATAGAAGCACGGAGGTCAGGTTAATGGTTGGGCTGATAATCAGTTTTAGAAAATAATATTTTTCTGTGGAATAAATGGGTCCAAAACTGCCACCAGTTTTTTTTAGAGCCTGTTGAACTGTCCGCTGAGATCAATAGGAAAAGGTTGCTGAACTCGTCCAACCTGCTGAGATGTTTCAGGTCAATCCGATCGTAGTTAATTTCACCCCCACTAAACAAAGAACAAGTTGTACAGAGAGGCGTTTTTAAGTCATGGGCTCAAATCTGCTAAAGATTTCTGCAAAATTGTAGTTTGGAATGGTTTCAAGTCCTTTTAACGAGATGCAAGAGGAAGTGACTGCAGTATTACAAAGTTTAAAGGAGCAAAAGTAACCGCTACTGGGTAGAAATTAAAGGAGCAGCACACATTACTGATATGTGTGGTGCTACACTGATTTAAAACCAGAGCTATCAGCTTGTAGCCTGACTACATAACTAGTTAATTAGCTTCTTTGTTCTGCTCTTTGTAGAGCAATCCTGGAAATATAACCAGCTGATATTAGCTAGTTAAATAGTCATGCTATGAGCTGATGGCTCTAGTTTTAAATCTAGAGCTAATTAGCACAACATTAGCAGCTGCAGTACTACACATATGTGGTTATGCTGCAGCTGTTAGCTTAGTTACTGGCTCTAGCTTAGCTGCCTAAAAGTAGCTTCCTGAAACGTTTAGCTAAATTTGCTAGCTAAACCAGAGCTACCAGCATATAGCATGACTGACATCAGCAGGCTATACTTCCAGTATTGGCCTACAAAGAGCAGAACAAGGAAGCATCGGGATTCTGTGCCATAAGCACCAATAAATATCAACTCAAGATTATGTTCCGGTGAGAATCTCGCATCACTTCCGTGTTTTCACCAACATGTATCAACATCATTACTTGCTCGAACCCCAGTTGACCCATGATTGTGAAAATGTTGTGCTACGAGCTGTGGATCAATGTGTGTAGCTACTGCAAAGTCTTTCCTGAGATTGTTTGTTTTCTGTTTTTCTTCTGTAAATGTGCTGCTAGGCGTGTTGTTCTGTTTTAAGTTATGGTGTTTGTGACTGAGCAGCCATGTTGACTCTTCAAGCTAGCAGTGTGTAGGAAATGTAAGACAAACATTCTATAAATTTGGTTGACATAATATATTTTTTAAGAAATTATATTTATATAGATTGTCTTGATATATTTGTATTTTTTTTTGTATGTCTGTGTATTAGCTGTTCGCTAATGAACTCAAACAGCTAAGAGCGTAGCTTCGAACAGCTGCCATTAAAAATGCGAGTGCAGTGTGCGAGTGGTGTTTCATCAGAAGTGGACAAAGAAACACTGGTGTTCACTTATGATGATTTTCGTTTACCTCTAAAGTTTGAAATTGGATGTGAGATAAATTCAGACCCTTTTTATGCTAGCTTTAGCTGGTTTATCAATTACAGCGTAGCCTAGCTGAAACCAGGCTAGGTTTAAGCTAAGCTTAAACCTTCACTGTGTGAATTTGAGTCTGACCCCTACCTCTCTTGTTTTAGGTCAGTTAAAGCAAATAGAAAAAATGCTTCTATTTCCTACACGCCAGAAAACTTAGGACATTTTTAGAGACGTTTTTCTAACTCCCTGAATTCAAAAGTTTACATACCTTTAAACTATATGGCTTGAGTCAAACCTTTTGGGTTTTGGACCAAAAGACTTTTATCTCTGGGACACAGCTCCTTCCTGAGCATTATGATGGTTGGATATTCACATTATGTTTAAATAATTGCATATCATTTTTTGAACAGATGAACGTAGCACCTTCAAGCATCTTTAGAAACCACTCTGGTGTCTAAGAAAGTAGTTAACAATTCCTCAAATGACTAGAGTGCCTCGATTATTAAGATTCCTCAAGGAAAATTATCATTAAATTATATTTTGCTATTTAGTACCAAATGTTCTGGCCGGATAATTATTTGTGTCGTACAACACTCTCACCTCCATCAATGACTTGTTGACAAATGCTAAGTGCTCCTAGCACAAAATAGGATGATCAGACATCCTCTTGTCCCAGGACATTTCCAGGTTTTAATTGCTTTTTGGGGGACTGACAGGCATCCTTAAATTGACTGGAATACAACGATCTTTCTCCCAGAACTTCTGCCTACTGGCCTATTTGGAACAAATGAAGAGCGCGGCGGGTGTATGCATACAGGTGGAGCGGAGACTCATGCAGATAGGTGGAACACAGCAGCTTTGTAGGCGATACTTAGCTTTATGGAGTCGGACCAAACGGAAAAGAAATTTCCTGCCCCACCCCTTCCCACTAAATGGATGGCAGAGTCCACTGTGGCGGGTACACAGCTTTTCTAAATATGATGAAGGTGCCGTCATCGTTCACATGGAAACAAAAGCTATAAATGGCCATATTCACCCAGTAGGTTAACAAGACTGAAATGAATAAGAAAACTAAAGACTGGAGAAAACATCTGTTTAAAAGTGGTTTTGTCAACCTGCTGCTTTACTATTTTTACCATTAAATTTTATATAATTTCAGACATTAAGGGGATTGTTAGAGATGCACATCAAAAATTTGGGCCAACATTAACACCGTTTCTATGACAGTGTTTGATAATTTATTCAATCAAGTATTTTAGTTGGTTAATCATCAGAATAATCGATCAATTGCTCCAGTAGTGAAATAATGGAGTAACAACAGCAAAAAATCAATGTGTTTCATGTCTCATCTTACCAAGTGCCTCTTCTGTCAGTGAGGTTTGCACAGTTGGAAGCATCCTCTTCTTTTCTTAAGCTAGCCGTTTCAGTCCCACCTGGTTTCTCCTAAACGTTTGGTACAGGAGGGCAATCAGTGAGCTTTTTATGGATTATTTTATGGCATATGGTGGCGTCTCTTGAAGGGGAGAGTGCACTGCAAAAACACAAAATCTTACTGGGTAACTTTGTCCTAGTTTCTAATGCAAATCTATCAGAACCATTGAAATAAGACAAAACTAACTCAGAAGATATGAAAGACCGTTTTAAGTTCTAGTTTCATTGGCAGATTAATGTCTGATGGGGAAAATGGTCTCATCAGTGAAGTAATCAGCCAATGGAACTAGAACTTTTCCCATTCTATGCTGTGTTTAATAAATGTCCCAAAGTTAAAACCAACTGCTTAGTTCCCATATTTCAAGCTTCATTTTTTTAAATATGTTTTTTTATGTGAGGGCAGACCACATTTGGTTCAGGGTGGTGGTGCCGGATCGAGGCCGTCAAAGCGGGCTTGCTCTTCAGCAAACAGTGGGAGTGTGTAGCTGCCAGCTGATGGATTACCCTGACATCTGCTCCATTCACTCCTCGGCAGCGTTGCTACAACAACCGCAGTCCGCCCCTCAAAAAATGCTCCTCTCTTCACCAAGAGGCCGGGAAGCCTTTTTGTAAAACGGTGCCCCCCCCCCCACCTCCCCTCTCTAAAGCCAGATACAATTCGGATGCTGTGTGTTCTGTGGAAGTAACAAAAAAAAAAGGGAAGGTGGGGAGAGGGCTTTTTACCACTGCTAAGGCCAAGAGGATTTCAATCAGAGTGATAGAATAGGACTTAGCACACAGAATATTTGACCCAAAGCATTCCTCAGCTAAACTTTGACTTGGTACAATGACATTTTGAAAAAGGAGCTGGCCGGACAGCTTGGGTTGGACTCATGCAAAGCGTCGTTGTTCGCGCAGGATCGTCTGACGGCCTCCCGCAGCGCCGGGTCAGAACAGAAAGAACACAAACTGTGCGTAAATGTGAAAGACGCCATGTTTGTTTCATGTGTTAGTTTTAAACCGTACTGTTTAAAAGTTAAATTTTTTTTTTTGGTAACACTGCGGAATATTTAGTTCAGCATGTTGGGACTTTTCCATTCGCAGAGAAGGATGCTTGTTTATGACCTTGAATTTGAAATGTTGCCGCGGAAGCGAGTCTCAGCCGATCGCACGTTGAGCTCCGTGCAAATTTTACAGCGTTAGCGCCAGCTGAACAACTGGCTCACTGATCCTAATCGATCAGAAACAACAGGGGGAGGAGATGACTCAGTGCTCAAGGATCAGCTGCTGCAGAGCAGACGCGGCCAGGCCAAAGCGCAGCAAGACTGGAGAAACTGGACACCAGAGTCCTGAGCATCATGACCAGTGAGTTCTGGTGAAGACTGTGTGTCACTGATGAGTGCAGTGAGTCGTTTTGCCGTTTAAACATGATCTTGATCTTATTGAAGTGGCAGAATGGTATTTGGCATCGGCAGCACCAGAAATCTAATTATAGATTTTTGCCTTTGGCTTGGAAAGTTCTGCTCCATGAAGCTTTCCACTGCATGGAATGCATAATGATACATTTGTTTAATTGCACCACCATTTTTTTTTTTTTTTTTAAGAATTTGACATCAAATTCTTCGTTCCAGAGTGGCGCTTCATTTGCGTCAGCAGAAGAAGAAGCAGAGATCCCGACTTGTTCCCGACATGTCAAGTGATTTGGGAATTGAACTGATGTGTCTCATGGTGTCGTGCGGGTCTGCCGGAGGTTCGGGGTGTTGGTCGGTGCCAGTGCACCTGTGAACACCTGCGTTACGGTGAAAAGGTTTGCCACACCGAGCCGGCTCTTATCGCTGCAGCTGTCTCACACACACCACCAAATGCCTGCAGCAGCAATCACACTAAATTAGCTCTCTGAGGAATTTGGTTTGAAGTTTTACGTCCGATCATTTAGATAAGGAACTTCCAGCGTCGTGACGTGGAGCCCAAACGGCACAGCGGCTCTGGAAACTGTGACAGCCAGCTCTCTGCAGAGAACAGTGTTTGTCAGCAGGCTGAATATTTATTGCTGAAGCCGCTTGATAAATGTTATTATTCTATCTACTTTGACAGCAACATTCAGATTGTAATCTCATTTGCCAACAATGACGTTGACTCAGAAGAACGAAGATGAAAGGGGGATCGAGGTGTTTATGAAGACTGTCATCAAGGCTTGCATAAATCACACAGTGCGCACCTGAACGTCGCCTCCAATAAATCAGAACCCGGATAATTAGCGACGACTGAAAAAGAAAGAAGGATTTGTTATTGGTTGGTTAGAATAAGTCGTGGTTGCAACATGTTGGATAATGATAATGATAATTCCATAGAGCCAAGCTAAAAGAGAAAAAAAGCTGTTTGCTCTCTGGTAAAAGGTTTTCTGTGGATGAATTGTTTTGTGAAGGTGAATGTTCTCTATGTGACTTTAACGCTGAGCTCAGTTGATGCAGCTCACCTGCAGCTCACCTGCAGCTCATCTGCAGCTCACCTGCAGCTCACCTGCAGCTCATCTGCAGCTCATCTGCAGCTCTTTGCAGTTTGTTCTCTTCCTTTCATGTCTCATGTCCATCTGCTGCATGCTGAGGCGTCTTCTGGTAAAATAAAAATTTCAAGGAATAAAAAATGGAACGTCACTAAAAGTTTTCAAGATATATATATATAAAGCAATTCTTTTGGTGAAAAAATATTTAAAAACTGTTGTCCGCAAATGATGTAATGCCCAAAGTGCAACAGCAGAATCATATAAAACAAGTTGACATAAGCAGTATGAGCATTCGAAGAAGATCCTGATTCCTGAAACAATTCTGTCTTGCATTTTTCTTGGCAGTGTTTACCTTCTCCTCTCATTTATTAACTTCCTCAACTTGCATTTGAAATTTAATGGGGGGGAAAAAAAAAGAACAGAGGCGGATAAACATAAGAACGCCGTCCCAGTTACCTCAGTGTAAAAGCGATGGTGTGTGCAAAGAGTGTGACATCAAGTCATCGCTACCAGTTGTGACTTGTACTATAAGTGGACTTGGATTTGGCCTCTTTGTTTGTGAAGTGCTGGGATCTTTTTCCAGGTGCGTTGCAGCAAGAAGATCCTGGTCTTTGCTTTCGGACATTTCTGCCTTTTACTGCCCCGCTGTGCTCATTATTTTATGACCATAGTGCAAAATCTTGCCGTGTCATTTTGGTCTAGCATCTAGTGCGAATGTCTTATCACACTTGAAATAAGACAAAAGACGATCTGAACATTAACCACCAATATGACGTACCCGTCGTTTTCTTCTAGCCAATCAGGGATGGGCAACTGAACACTCATGTTTGCATGATTACATTTACAGCACCAGTCGTTACAGTGAGATGTGGTGTTTGTGCAGTGTTGGAGTACT